GCGAGCCGTGCTGAGCTGGCCTTGAGTCACCAGCAGCTGGCGGGGACACTGGCGGGAGGGAAGGTCTCATCCAGGGGCATGAGTGTCCCCCACCCCCTTGGCTGGTGCATACTTGTGTGCGGCAACTGGGGGTCCCCGATTTGTGTGCAAGTGTGGTGGGTGCGCAGGCACTGGCGGAGACCCCTGCACCCCCAAACCCGCTCACGGACTGGCCCTGCGTGCACAAGCCTGAGTGCTTGCCCCATCCTTGTCCAGTGCCCACAGCCACCGGTGCTAAAGCATGGTCCCCAACGCCTGGCGCTCAGCTGTCCCCTCCCGGGTCCATCCTGGCCTGGGGCAGAGCGGGGCATGGGGTGGGCAGCACCCCGCTGCTCAGTGGGAAGGGGCCGGGGCATTGCTCAGCACTCTGCCCACCAACACAGGCAGGGCGGAGTGGGTCCCCTTGGCACCGAGACCTGCCACCCCCTGTCCTGGGCCCAGGGCCACCCCGAGATCCCGCGGTGCCTGGGTTTAGGCTGCAGCCCCTGGAGCCCTGGGAAGCCTCCGCTGCCCCGTCCCTGGCCCGCTGGGTCACCCCAGCCCTCCCCGGCAGTTTTGCAGAGCGGTTTGGGCAGGCCAAGCCCGCGATGGGCCGGTTCCCAGGGATGTCATGCCGTGAGCCCGGCCTGGGGAAGGAGCCGTCACCCGCAGCACGGCGGCTGCCGCGGTAATCCGGTGCCGCTCCCTTTGCCGTCACCACGGCAGGTTCCTCCGGCGATGTCCCCGCACCGTGCCCAGGGCACGGCTGCCAACACGCCAGCTAACTATGAGTTCCTTTTATTAAGGAGTTTAGAAAGTCCACATGTACAGCATTGGACATCACTCACACACGACCTAGACTTCACGGCACTGCTACACACCATGACCCAGCCCGGGGCTTCGCCGGGAAGAAACGCGGCCAGGTCCCGGACCCCCCGGCCGCCCCTGCCCACCCGTCTCTGGGGAGGTGTCACTGTGGACGGGTTTAGCCTGATCCGGGGCCGCGGAGCGACGCGTGCGCTTTTGGGAATAATCCTGGGAAATCCTGCGTCTCAGCGTGGATTAAATACCTCTCGTGCAATTCAAAACAAAGTCATTAGGGAGTCCTGGGTGACACGGGCAGTTACACAAGGGTGTGCTACCAACAAACTGCACATACAATGTCCCCTCCCTGGCACGGAAAAACACTGGTGGAGGGGTCCAGCGAGGGGACGAGCCTTCCTGCCCGGGGCACGTGGCTCCGTGTGCCCTCTTGTCCTGAAGGCGAGCGCTAGAAAACCCAGCTACAGCTAATCTACTGAAACAAATGAACAAAAAGTAAAGACGGGCATAGTGCTCCCCGCCTGCGCAGGACCCTTTCTGGAGGGGTCCGGTGGGGCGCAGGAAGCCCCTCGGGAGCTGCTGGGGGCTCCTGCTCGTGTGCTGGCTGGGAAATGCCACCACCGAGCTCCCCCAAATCCCATCACTTGAGAAACCCAGCCCGGCCAGCTGCTCTGGGCAGGGACGGAGGGGCTAGAGCTGGTGCCTGTGCTCGGAGCTCATCCTCACCCGAGGCCTCCGAGGAATGTCTCTGGCAGAGGGGAAAGCTGCGGTGATCCCCAATGCGTTGTTTGTCCCTGCTTCCCCAGCAGGACAGACAGACAGGGAGGCAAAAGGGCTCGTCCAGCACAGGGTCCAAGGTGGGGAAGGGGCACTTGCGGGAGAAGCACGCAGGGAAGTACAAATCTGCCACAGCCAGGGGGATGAGCCTTTGATCTCCTCGTGCCTTAAGCCCTGCTGGAAATGGGGATGGCGGGAGCTTTCCTCCCCTCCTCAGGCAGTCTGTCCATCCTGTGGTGTTTCTTGGGGCCAGAGCCTGGTGCGGGGGCTCTGCTCCCTGTTGCTGCTACAGCACAGGCAGAAAATCATGTAAAGGGGCCAGAGCCTGGTGCGGGGGCTCTGCTCCCTGTTGCTGCTATAGCGCAGGCAGAAAATCATGTAAAGGGTGTCGGGGTCCCGGCTGTCCCCCCCCGTTCCTACACAGCCTACTCAGGCTTGGGTTTTTTGTTGTTTTTTTTTTTCTTTTTTGACAAAATCCCCCATTTGAGTCCTTCTAGGGAGCCAGAAGGAGAAATCAGCCCCACACCCCGTGGCGGCTCCTCGTTGGGTCGGCCGGCGCGAGGCATCACCTGCTGCCCGGTTATCAGGGCCCTGCAGATGCTAAGCCCCACTTGGGGCTTCTTTTTGCAAAACCTTAATGGGATTTGAAGAAATGAAAGGCTTTGATTATCTGCAGGTGCTGAGCCAGAGTGTGGCTCATCCTGGGTGAAAGGGAATGCGGGTCCCCAGGCCGGGAGCGAGTGGCGGGGGCTCGCCCGGGGGCACGTGGGCATGCTGTCCGAAGCTAAGGATTTCAGGAAAGGTCAGAGCTTTTGGATGGCAAAATTCCAATGTGAGTCCCAGCGGGTCTGGGAGGAAGGGAATGCAGGCAGAACCGTGCTGGGAAGTGAGCCTTCCTTGCCTCCCTCCTCCTCCTCGCCGTTCTCCCCATTTCCCCAGCACCACCAAAACAGCTCTGTGCTGTGCTCGGTTCTGGGTGTGTGTCCATTGCAGCACCATGCCAGCTTGCTTTGGGGGTGTCCCGACCCGCCGGGAGCCTCCAGGAGCCAGGACAGGGACAACGGGGGTGAAGGAGTTCATAGTTGTCCCTTTCCAGCTGTGTTGCTCTTGCTGGGGGAGAGGCGAATGTTTACGGGCTGGAGAAGGAATCGGTCAGGCGTCTGCACGGGCTGCAGCCCAGCCGAGCCCTCCCCGTCCACAGTAGCACCATGGGGTGGGCTGGAACCACGGAGCAGCAGCCTCATCCCAGTCTCGGGGGCTTTGTGGGGCTCAGGGCTCCCCACGGTGAGTGTCTGCCAGTCCCTCGCTGGCTCGACCAGGCCACTGCCGGGTGTCTGTGCCCAAAGCGAGATGAGCGGAGGTGCCCAGCCTGCCCGGGCTGCTGCATCCCTTCCTCCCTCCCTCCAGGCAGCCCCCTCCCTTCCTTGCCGAACCCCGCTGGGCACCACTCCCCAAACCCCCGCATCCCAGATCGG